GAATGTTGATGCAGAACTATTTAATGAGAGAATAAGACGGAGAAGATGTGATGGAGCATGAAAAATTTGTCAGGGTCCCATTAAAGACTTCAAACAGAGAATTGTTCCCAGGCTGTGCATTCCACATACATTACTCTTTCTTTTTCATAGCAGAGGAAGATTTACACAGTGCTGTCCAACTTTTAAAAAGCCAAAGATTGGTGATACACCTAGGACGTTATTATATGGAGCCACTGATAAGAATAGTCAGAGAACTGAATTAAATCATTAGCCTGATAAATACATGTAATTCTGGTGTTCAGAGATGGTGCTCATGCCCCAGAAAAGCCATGCCAGTAACAGAGTTTGTGGAGATGCCTCTTCCTCTGTGCTGAGTGATTGCTCCTTTTATTTTATTCACTGCCCATTTAACATGGTCTGCATCTCCCAGCGCCATAGCCACTGGACCCATAGGAAGAATATGACTTCCCATAAGTGTACAGGCTCCCAGAGTCATAGAAGCCCCTGAGACCCTGAGAGCTCGTGTATCCAAATGAGCTCCCAAAGCCAGCTGGTGCTGAGCTGCCCACAATGCTCTCCTGAGGGCAGGAGCTGAGGATGGGTCCTGGGAAGGTCATGACAACAGGTGGTGGGTAGATCACAGCTCTCGAATCACCACAGGATGTAACACAGGGCTGGCTACAGGCATTCACCATTGGCTGCGGGCAGGTCACCTCACAGGGTGCAAGGCAGCGGGAGCTGATCTGTCTGTAGAAAGACATCTTCTGGGAATGGAGACAGATCTGAAACACACAACACCGTGGCAACTTGAGACTGAAAGATCAAGAACCAAAATAATGGAAATTAGGCTAGGAAGAGAAAGAATGAAAGACAGGGAGAAGAGGTGGAACATGAAGATTTCAGCTGTCCCTTTTCTCATCTTCTTTTTATGCCCTCTTCCTTTCCCAAATCAATCTCTGTTCCTTCTGGGTCCTAATTTGGTACCTAAAAATATCATTAATGAGCAAGGAAATTGTGTATTTATGCTTGAGTTATCCCAGTATCTACTATTTCTCTTTTCTGCCATTCCTTTTTGTACCTGAATTCTGTGACACTTGACTATTTTTTTTATAAGTATCTGCAGAAAAGAACAGCAATACCAGCTAGCACTTATGTAGTAGCATCCCCTGCATCACCTGTAATCATTGCAGCATCTGCATGAGGCAAGTCATTGTTTTTCCAGCTTTAAGGAAGAGGTAACTGAGGCTGAGGAGTGAATGCATTGCCCAGAGCCATTTGGTGAGGTAACAGGAGAGACCAAGTTAAAATTTGGGCAAGCCTGATTGTCAGTGATAGTGTTATTCCAGAGCCCTGCAGATGCTACAGCTTGCATCAAGATTCCCTGCAATCACCTTGCAGCTCCTCTGGATCTCCACCCTGCCCTACTAAAACCCATAATATGAAAAGCTGGAAATAGAGTAGGAACAATGTCCTGCTGTAACAACTACATAATGTGATGCTTGACAGGCTTCAAATTAATTCATACATAATTGCAAGGAACAAGAAAAAAACATAGCTAATGGTGGCTTCCTTGCTCAGTTTCAGAGCCAGAGTTAACTTTGTTTTGGTAGTCACCATTGCAAGTCAATGTATACAAAATAAGGCAGATTCCTGAAGGAAGAATGGTCAGGCTGAAGGGCATAGGAATTCAGCACATCTCACTATACATAAATTTGCATATCCTAAACTATCAGCTGCTCTGAAAATTCTTTTCCTGTCTTTTTACAGCCTGCCACTAAATAAGTAGGAAACAACTCATGCTGAAAGAAAGCTTTAAACATTTTAAACATTTCTTAAGTCATAGCTTTGTGTCAAAGTCCTATATTGCTACAGCAATATCAAAATAGCAGTAAGGAAAAAGGCTCAGACTTACCCCTCCACAGCAAAGAGCAGGTAAAGAGAAATGGTTAGAGCAGCCCAACACTATGAGCGCTTTTATGTCTTTTCTTAGGCAATCGGGAGGATGTGAGACATTCTTCATGTATGATGTCCTAATGCATTATCAAACAAAAATTCACTCCACCTGTAACTGCCCCAGATAATGCAATTATTTTGCTCAGCGACAGTGATTAGTATCATGTTCTTGTCATTATTACTCTGACAGACAAAGCTGTATGAAGCCTTTCCTCACCAATCTTCAAGTGCTAAATTCCTTTCAGGTATTTTTTTTCCTCATTCCACAATGAATCTGTCTTCTTTTAATTGTTTTATTTCCCCTCTATTTCTCTGAATGCCTCATAGAGCAAAGATTGCTCAGAAGTTTAACCATAAACAGAATATGGTGACATAGCTGGAATACCACACCACTTTTCCAAATCATCTTCCAATAAGGGGGCATTGTGCAATTTATCCCATCATACTCATGCATATTATTTCCCATGACTGATATAAGACACATTAAACTCTATCCACACCTTCCAAGACCACGTGAAACTGTGCATCACCCTAGGAAAACCTTGGGCTGAAATCTCAAGTCCAGTTTCAGCTGATGCAGAAGACTGGTGCTTATTTCAGCAGATATGTTCCTCTGCTCTACCACCCTGTCTTCAGTTCTTCAGTTATTTACTAGTAAAATTATTTTCGATAGAATCTATGCATTTCTTGTGTTCACATTGATATAATTTACAATAGCTTATTTTTATCCTCAAGAAGGCATATTCTTTGCCTCTTTGCTCCTTCTGCGGAATTGAAGGTTTAATGACTGAGTTTGAACAACTTTCAGACTCCTGTTCCAAAATGCAATTTGTGTTCCAGTTCGCCCACCTGCACTTGGTAACTGTATGCAATACAGTAGTGTAACGCCGTGCAGGTGAAACTTGCAGGAAGGCTGGGGAAACCTCTGTCCCAAGGACGCCTTGGGATTTCTCTCAGTGTTTCCCAGCACTGCCTACGGAGACGCCCTTCATGCTACTGATAGTGAAAGACTCAGATTAAAAAAAAAAAAAAAAAAAGGAGGAAGGAGGGAACATGTTTTTGGCAAACAAGCCACACGGTCTTCTCTTCCTGCCTGAACCACACCTGGTTTCACTTTGTCTGGAAATGGGTGATGACAGGGATGGTGCTACCTGCAAATGAATCACATTGTTCTTAGAGATGCATCCCTCTCCAATCCATCCTGCTCTCCTGAAAGGGCAGAGAAAGCAATGAAAGGATCTATCAATACTGCTGACACGCCAAAGTACTTCTCTTGACTCATGATATTTAGGGTAACATCCATATGCTTTAATTTTATAATTTTATGGACCCACAAATCAGGGTCTGGATTCCTGTCTTTATGCTTTTTCCAATATAATGGAAGTTTTGTGTGTTTCACTGACCTGAACCATTCTGTGATTTTGGCTGGTGCAAATACATTACAGAAAAATATTCAGAGACAAATAGCTCTTTGAAAAGCAAAGTTAGCATGACACATGGAATACATCTACACAGATTGTCAAATGACAATACCCCTGTGGAACACTTACATCTATTTGATGTGAACTATCAGCAAGCACATTTACTAAATTAGCATAACATTTTTTCTATATCAAATATATATATATATATTATTGTAACACGTCAAAAAAGACTTTGAGATGTATCTGCAAAAACTTCCATACATTGACTTTGGATTATTAAACTACAAGAGCAACCGAAAATTCTTCCTGGCTGTCATGAAGTGCCACCACAAGAATAACAAACAGACATCTTTCATTCCAGCTTCTAATTGAATTCTTAACTCTGCTCATGATGCCCAGATATCTCTGTATGATTCTTCCAAGCCCATGGTGGATAGTTATGGAATCATCCACCTGAGAGCACATCTCATACAGTGTGGGTGGAATTTGTCTCATCTGGTAATACAGCACACCCGGGTTGCAAGGGCATGTCTACTACACCCTAGGAGGAGTCACATAACAGCACACTTGGATGAGCCACCTGAAAGAGAGAAGGGAAATGCAAAAGAAAAGGAGCATTTGCTAAGGAGGAGAGGTCGAGCAGCACTTTCTGCTTACGCACAAATATTTGTAAGTGCTTTACAAATAATTCTTATGCCTTAGCATTACTATAATTCAAGCCCAAAATCATGACTGTTTTTGTGGCCACGTGAAGCTGTGGCTCTGATGGCCACAAAGCCTAGCCTGGACCGCAAGATAAACATTTATAGAGATAAGAGGACTCAGCACTGCACTCTTGTGGCTTCGTGGAGAGCGTGACTCGAGTGGAGTAAACCTGAGTTACTTCAGGCACTGCCAGAGGAGGTGGAGAATTCACAATTCTGGGCTGAAGTACTGGCATACCCTCAACTTGTCGTGAAAATTGCAGTGCCCTTTCCAGATCAGAATTAATGATGCAAGTCTGGGACTTTTAAATCATCCTTAATTATCAGAAGTGCTTGTATAGTTCTGTTGATTTATCTGTGTAACAACAGATGATTTTGTCTGATACAAGTAGAATAAAACCCTAATAACCTAATGAGGCACAGACGTCACCTTAACACAGTCTGTTATTAAAGTCCTTCTAGACTATATTCCCATATGTCCTATGACACGATAATCTTGGCATTTCTGCAAAACATACAGTGAGTAAGATTCAGCCAGCACCTTGTGCACAGTGATGGTCATGATACAAAGTGAGGACAATAGTAACGTGACAATATTTATCTGAATATAAAAATAGACCTATGTTAAATGTTGATATATTCTAACCCAAATAACCACACTCAGCATCTGTATTTTTTGGCTGAGTCATGAGGCATATGTACTTTCCAGCAAAAAGGGAATTCTGTGATGACATTCCCTATTGTAACATGATAATTCTGGTTCCAGTGGCTGGGAAGGGGAGAAATTATGTATTGCACATGACTTATGCTGGCCCTGTGTTTGTATGAGGGTTATTAATCACTGTTTGTATAAGGGATGGATATAAGGGTGAGAGGTGTGAAGAACATGGGAAGAAAAATGAAAGCAAAATGCCAATGGTAGGATGCAGTATGATTTTTTATTTGGAACAAGAAATGGCATTGAGAATAACAAACGACAAAACATGAAAGAATGCTTCCAGTTTCTCAAACAAGATTATAAACACTTCATCAGCAAGCACCAAGCATTTCACACAAGGTACTTTTTCTTTCCTGTGACAGAGCTAATTTTTTTCAGCCAAGTTCTGCTCTGGAATATACAAAAAGGTTTTGCTGATGATAAAACCTACCTGGAGAGCAAAGTAACTTTCCTAACAGGAGTTCTGTTACATCTTCCAGGTTAAACACAAAAACAGAAAATCAGTACATGTGTTCTCAGACAGGCTAAATAACAAATTGCTCAGTTTCTAACTCCTATCGCTCTGCCTCTAGCCAGTGAGGATGGAAAAGACACAGTTTGAGAAAACAGTGCATGTTAACAGCAGCAACTTCAAAAGCAAAAAGGTGATAAGAAAAGTAATCAGAAGAGCGGTTCCCACGGGTGCTGAGCAGCACCCACAGGTCGCAGAGGATTAGCTGGAGTCATGGGTGACCAGGGCCTGGGGGAGCTCCTCAGCTCAGATGCACAGCCACGTCTTGTCGTTGGGTCCCCGCTGTTTCTCCAGCCATCCACACGCTGCAGTGCTCAGCAGGGCCTGCAGCCCCTGTAGGGATACCTCCTGGACTGCTGGGAGAAGGAGGAAGAGGAGGAGGAGGAGAAGCCCCCATAGGAGAGGGAGCCCTGCAGAGCCCTGGGCTGTCCCAGCCCCAGCCCCAGTGGGGCTGAGCTGCCCACAAAGCTCTCCTGTGGGCAGGAGCTGAGGATGGGGCCCGGGAAGGTGATGACCACGGGTGGGGGGTAGACCACGGCGCGGGAGTCCCCGCAGGAGGTGACACAGGGCTGGCTGCAGGCGTCAGCATAGGGCTGCGGGCAGGTCACCTCGCAGGGGGGGAAGCAGCGGGAGCTGAGCTGCTGGCTGAGGTAGGACATCCTTCGGGCAGGGAGGTGAACCTGCAAGGTGATAAGAGCCTGAGTCAGCCCGGAGCCACCGCGGGGACCTCCCAGGGAACTCCACCAGGCTCTGTGCACCTTGTGCTGCCAAGGTGGCTGGGAACTTGTGGCCAGGTGCAGCAAATCCCTGAGCTCAAAGCAAAAAGCATGCAGGCTGACCCCATTCATTCCTGAGCCCCTACAGCCCACACTGCAACTGCCCCAGTTTGGCCATGAAAATACCCAGGAAAAGGTTTTCACACAAAGCTAGGGACTGACAGTGCTGCAGCTCAGGAGTCAGTTAAGAACATCCCAAACCCACTGTCCCTAAGGAGATAAAGGAGGGTTAAGGGATCAGACTTACTCAGATCAACAAGGAGGAGAAGTGGAGAGCTGTGGTCTGAGGGCTGCTGAGCCAGGAGCCCTTATATACCATCCCCTGGTTTGCCTGGGGGGGTTGAGACATCCTGTGTGTTTCATGTTTATTTTGTTGCAAAACACAACAGAGCTTGGCACTCCCCAGGCTCCTATGATTGCTTGATTCACCCTTTGTCTGGTCAATTATCAGTTTCTTCCTACACCCTCTTGTTTCTTCTTTAAACTTTAAAACACCTTCACTTCCTGAAACGCTTTGCTGATTTTTCTGACATTCCAAATATGCTGGAAAACTTACTTATGCGATTGCTCCACTAAGCCAGTATTTTTCAAGCACTCATCAGTATCACAAGTAGTGCAATGCTCCATGGGCTAAATGTCTTCTCTTAAATCCTTGTTGATGTTGAGGTAAAGCATGGTAGGGCTTATACCTAGACTAAAGATGGTGGATTGATTCTACCTGCCTTGTTTCTCATTCTGGCTATTCCCTGCAGGTCTGATACAACACACTAAAGCATAGAGTTGATTTGTTTAACTAATTCTTGCAGATCTGCTGTGATTTATTTTGCCCCTGAACACTACACATTCCCTCCTGTGCCCCTCTGAAACCTTTGGACCACAGACCTGGCTAGCACGTCCTGGCTGCAGCAATACTGTGAGCCTGTGTCAGATGTGAACAAAAACCTCCAGTAACTGTTAAAATAGTGCTTTTTTGTGCTTTTTTGTTATTATGTTATTAGTTGTTTTTTTTTTGTTTTTTTTTGTTTTTTTTGGCTTGGATGTCAAAAAGAGCAAGACAATCAGATTAGCACAATCTCGTGTGACTTCAATTTTATTTCTCTTCAGAGAAAAAAAAAAACCAAAAAAAACATCGGGAGAGCTGACAGCACTCCTGCTCTCAGAACTGGTACTCTACTTTGGGGTAAGCAACGTTGTATTGTGGTGTGTCACAGCTGCATTGCAACCACCTGGATCCATTACCAAGAGGGGAACAAGTGTGTCCATCAGTTTGTGCTGAGCACAGAAATCGTAAATCCTACAGGAGACTGTTGCAATGCCGCAAATCACTTGGAAGTTTGCAGTGTCCTCAGTGATTCAATGGATCATCACTGACCTGCATCAGGAAAAGAAAGGGATTAAAGCTTTCCATGTCCCTTTACATTTCCAGGGAAAAAATAATAACAGTCCCCAGGAAAGTAACAAGATATCTGGAGTTAAAGCACAATAATGAATATAGTGTATGAAAACAGCTTCTGATACAGAAACTTCAATAGCTCTAAGATAAAACAACCAAAGAGAAATATTGCAAATCAAGGGAAGTCTAACATATGACTTCTTAGAAGGAAGAACGCTGAGGAAACCATGGGCTGAGTAATATTTCTTAACAGTGAGGAAACCATTAGCGTGAATGAGGAGTGATGTGTAATCTGTGTGTTTGCGCACTAATTAAGATTTTGTTCACGAGGTGTAAGAGACTCAGTGGGAAGCTCAAGAAACGGTATAAAAAGGGCTCACAGCACAGACAGCTCACATCAGACAGCTGCTCTTGACTTCTCCTCTTTGGTGCTTTGAGTAAGTATGACATTTCTGACTTAGAGCATCACACTAGAAAATGTTTAACTGAATCTTTGTCAAATACTCTCTCTTTCTCTTGACATCCTTATGCCTCCCTTCCCTTGAAAACTTCTTCCTCTCACTGGCTTTAGTAGATGTAGTTGGTTTTGCTGCAAAACTTGGTGATGGGAAATCTCCAGGTAGTTGGCTACCTTGGCAGCACGAGGTGCACAGAGCCTGGCGGGGCTCCCTGAGAGGTCCCCGCGGTGGCTCCGGGCTGACTCAGGCTCCTATCACCTTGCAGGTTCACCTCCCTGCCCGAAGGATGTCCTACCTCAGCCAGCAGCTCAGCTCCCGCTGCTTCCCCCCCTGCGAGGTGACCTGCCCGCAGCCCTACGCTGACGCCTGCAGCCAGCCCTGTGTCACCTCCTGTGGGGACTCCCGCGCTGTGGTCTACCCCCCACCTGTGGTCATCACCTTCCCAGGCCCCATCCTCAGCTCCTGCCCACAGGAGAGCTTTGTGGGCAGCTCAGCCCCACTGGGGCTGGGGCTGGGACAGCCCAGGGCTCTGCAGGGCTCCCTCTCCTATGGGGGCTTCTCCTCCTCCTCCTCTTCCTCCTTCTCCCAGCAGTCCAGGAGGTATCCCTACAGGGGCTGCAGGCCCTGCTGAGCACTGCAGCGTGTGGATGGCTGGAGAAACAGTGGGGACCCAACGACAAGACGTGGCTGTGCATCTGAGCTGAGGAGCTTCCCCAGGCCCTGGTCACCCACGACTCCAGCTAATCCTCTGCTGCCTGTGGGTGCTGCTTAGCACCCTACCCATGGCTTTCTTACAATCTTTTTCTTTGATGTTGCTGCTGTGAAAATGCTTCTTTTCTATTCTTAGAAATCTGAATCTTGACTAAGCAAAACATGTTCCTCACTGTTAGAGCAATAAAACACTATTATCATTGAAACCAATTTGTGTATGTTTTTAATTCTGGGGGGACTTGCATTATTTCTTTATTCTTTTTTTTTTATATATATAACTAGATGTTTAATATATGAAAGATTCACAGATGTGACCTTGCACTGTGATTTGCCCTTCCCATCTGAAACTTGAACTGTAAGGAAGAGCACCGTACTGAACACATTCCATGTAGATTACCAAGTTGTCCTGTTTGTCAAACACTGAGGTCCATCTTGTATACTTTCCTTTATTTTGCTTAACCTGTATAGTTCTTGCTTCCAATAAACACTTGTGATTGCATCCAAATACTATATATGTTTGCTTTCTGTTTTGGGATACTGCAGCCTCTGCAAACCAATTGAACCAAACCATCCCCTTATCTTAGAGATCAGTGAGATTAATATTATGCTCTCACAGACCTAGTGTTTATTTAATGCCTATGGATTCATTCATCAGGAAACTCTGCTTACAACATGCTAGGCTTGCCTGCGTATGTGATTTAATCTTTACAAGGAGCCAGGTGTGAGAAAACTGCCCAGCCCTTAGTTAAAATTTTCAGGACTATTGTGAAGTTCTCGATAGCCAGTATAGTTCAACCATACTTCCTGTGCATTTCTATGTTTTTTGTTTGTTTGTTTTTGTTTGTTTGTTTTGTGTGTGTGTTTTTGTTTGTTTTTTGTTTAATCCAGAACTATTCTAATTACATATAACAGAGTAATAAAAAATGAATATTAGCTTATTATAGTTCTACGTGACATAGAGAAGTGAAGAGGGAATATTGCATGGGGCACAGCAAGAGAGGCAGCTTCCCAGAGACAAGAAGTTATTTAACAATGAAACCCAAGTCTGAGATACAAGAAACTTGAATCTTCTTCCCTGTTCTGTATGTTCATAGTCAGCGTTCTGAGAGCATAGAAGTACCCCAGCTGAGATTACAATTAACCAATAGCAGATATATTTTAGTACCTTAGCTTCTTGTTATTGTACAGAGAAAAGGAGTATCCTACTGGAAACCTAAGAAATAAGGAGCATAAGTTGGAATCTGAAGAAGGTCAACAAACTCACATTTCTGAGAATAGTTTAGATGACCAAGAAAAGGCTACATTAAAGTGAAGCAGGTGCAGGAAGTTCTCAGAAAGTAGGGAGCAGTGACCCAACAGTGCTCAGGGACCAGCTGGAAGCACTAAATAGTGCGTTTAGCTAAGCAATCTCTCAGATGTAGCTTGCTATCACATTACATCTCTTTAGCAGAGCAGTGTATAGTAACCCTGCTTGATTTCCAGATCTGGGCTCTTTTAGTTCACTGTCTTAACAAAAGTGTACTAGAAGATCAAATCTGCACCTCTGCTGCACATTGTGCCAGGTGTACTTAGCTAGCTCCTGTTTTACAGTAAATGTCCTATGCTCTTTTGTTATGCTGTGTCTGGGCATGAAAACTGTGATACATCTCTTTTCCATTCCCTGTATTGCTTTCTGCCTCTGGTAGTTTTCTAGAAATGCAAGGGATAAAGCAAACAACAGTATGGGAAAACTCATTGTTGAGAAGAAGACCAGCATGATGCTATTGATTATTTAGGGGTTTTGTTTCCCTCCTGCTATGGGACTTAACTAGAAAGAAAGCACCAATGTTTTGCGTAGGAGATTCTTTCAACCATGTTGTGTTATAAAACACATAGAAGAGAAAACTAGAATGCTAATATTATAATGCAGCATGACTTTTTAATAGGAGATAAAGCTGGAAGGTTTACAATAGAAACAACACGTTTATACAGAAACTGGAGAATTTGAGGCTTTAACAACTGAGGCTTCTTGTTCAGGAAACTTCATTTCAAGCACAGTGTTCTTTTCTTCTTCTGTAGCTGTAAGTGTGATGGACTGGTCCAGTTTTCATCCCTTAACATAGTCCTTGATGGACATCAGGCAGCATCAGATCATAGCATCACAACTCTTCCATTATGCTTGGTGTAAAATATAAGAGTGAATGTAGAAGCAATGCTAATGCATTTGAAAATCTGGACCACAAGAAGAATAGAAAAGCATGCTTATAATGAAGGAGGAAGAAGTGTAGAAGCAGATATGAGCACAAATATAAAATTTTAACAAGATTCAGCCTTTTTAAGGCAGCATCTTAGAAACTTCTCTTGCTCATCCTATGCTTGAGTTTGGATCTTGCATTCACTATCCTGACTGCTCTTGGTGCAAGTATATTCTTGCTGGGTTTGGCAGGGCTCACTCTTCCTAAAGTGGTAGCCACTGAATCTCTGAGAGCAATAAGGGTATGAAAATTTGCTCCCCTGTGATCCCCCATAAACCAGAGAGCCTCTGTAGCCATAAGATTCCCCATAGCCAAGTGAGTTCCAAATGCCAGCTGGTGCTGAGGATCCCACTATGCTTTCCTGAGGACAGGAGCTGAGAATTGGCCCAGGAAAAGTGATGACAACAGGGGGTGGGTAGACCACCGCCCTGGAGTCACCACATGATGTGATGCATGGCTCGTTCCAGGCGCTGGCGAGGGGCTGTGGGCAGGTCACCTCACATGGATTGAAGCTCTGGTAGTTGCACAGCTGTCTGTAGGAAGACATGGTTCTGCAATGGAAGTGGATCTGAAACACAGGAAGACAGAGAAATACATGTAAAATAAGTGGCTAGCTGGACAGAGATTTGTGTGTGCTCAGGTGTATTTGATGAAGATTCTATATGGTTGAGTAGCGTCTTGAGAAGAGGTAAGGCTTTAGTTCCAGGCTCTTTTCCCATCTTTTAGTCACACTGCTTGAATTATATTTATCCTCTCTACTTGCCAAACTCTTATCTCTTTCTAACCACCCTGAGTACACCAAACAACCTATATTTTTGCCATGTCTATACATGGTGCATCAGAACAAATCCATAAGCGCTACATCTAAGCAGTGCCAGGTTCAGCTGTGGTTCTTTCTCTTATAAAAGAGTACAGATCTATCTGTACTTCAGGAGACCAGTAGCCATCTCACCCAGCACCCTTTCTTCAGTAGCTGACCTGCAGGACAGGATTCTCTGCACCCCTGGTTACAGCTACCCAATTACAGCAGTTGGTACTTTTATCAAAGGTTTAAAGGTCTCTAGTCCTAAAGATTAAAATTGTTGTTTGTACAGCAAGGAAAGTAGACCTTTCTACACCAGTTCAATGCAGGACTTCTCAAAGACAGGACCTAGGTTTAATTAGAACCAGTCATTTTTTATTTAAACTAATTTGAAAACAGTAGGCATGACAGCAATAAAAATTTTAGAGCACCCTCTCACACAGGGCTTCAGAAATGAGTTTAACTTTCTACTAAATCCAAGACTGGGCTGCAGCTAGCCTCTACACTAGCTTTAGGAACTAAAGTCTCAAAATGCTCAAAGCTCAGACTTAACCAGGTCTGTGGGAATCCCTCAAGAAACTGGGTAATGCCAACCCCAGGTCCTCAGCAGGATCCGTGACCTGCTGGCCCTGTCACTGCAACAGCAGACGTTCACGTAGGATTCAATTAGAATTATCATTAAAAGAGCATATCAAAAAGGCACAGAGAATTAAAAACTTACTTGAGTCCTAGAGGAGAAGTCAAGAGAAGCTGTTGGCAGAGAGATGAACAGTGCGGGCTTTTATACTGTTTCTCAGATAGCCTGGAGGATCTGAGGCACCTTTTGCGCATGAGGTTTGATTAGATTCAAAACAGAAGCAATTACATGTAACACCTCACAGTGTATAATCATTTTGCTCACTGTTTGCAGCTATTAGGCAATTCCCATCTTCCCCTCACACCTTACTATGTCATCCTACCCTAAACTTCTTGATCTCATTCAGATTCACCAGATTTCAGCCTCTATGAAATGAATCCCAGTCTTTAGTCCTCTGTGGTAATGAATGGTAGCTCAGTTATGATAAAATTTGCTGATGCATGTATGATATTTTATCTTTTTATTTATTTACTTATTTTAAAATCCACTTACAGCTGGGGCACGAACTGTAAGTATTATCTTTGAAACTCCAAGGTGTAACTCTGTTTATTTTGCCTTCATGTCCCCATTTGAGCCACTCAGTATCAATCTGAGGTTTTCACTCCAAGACTCGATACTTTTAGAACAGGGCAATATCTGTATTCTTGGCCACAGGCAGCCTTGATTTTGGAAGCCAACAGCGCAGAGCCCATTTAGGGAATGTGGGGATGATCAAAATTTGTTCATGATGTCTCAAATGGAGTAAGAAAATTAATGGTAATTCTAGATGTCTTTAAAAAGGATTTCAGTGATTTTGAGAAACCATTAACTGCTTTAGCCCTTGAATTTCCCTGTAATCTATCCGGTACAGGGGACACATTTGGAGAAGGAAAATTCCATCTATTTTTACTTGCACTACCCTCTAACATGACTCTCCAGGGCAAGACTTAAAGTGCCTGCAACCAGACTATAAGCAAATAATGAATTACAGCAATAAATTCCACTAGACACTGTCATGACATCACGGATCATGCAACCAGGTGCCTAATACTACTTGGGATGGAGAAGTAAGTAAAAACTAGAAAATCATAAAAAAGAATCTTGATTCATTCCCACCCACAAACAACTAAGGGAGTGGATTGATACTAGGAAGGATCTGGTCATTGAAGTTTTGAAAGGAACCGAAACACAAGGTGTAGCATTGTGTAATAACATGATGAAGCAGGGAACACCATAGTAATTATGATAAGTCAGAAAAAAAAATTTGCATCATCTAGATGAGCTGCATATGCAACAAATATCAGTTGGTAAAGCAGCATGTTATCCTGAACACTGCTTTTTCATACTCATGAGGACTTTGAGAAAGTGGAAAACGGTGCTTACTTGTCAACACTTTTCTGGGCACTCCTTTTGTTATACAGTCTCTGCTAATTTGGTTAAGACTGAATTTATTCAACAGTTTCCCAGGTATTGAAATGCAGTCAGAAGAGCAGCTTTATGCAGTTGACAATTATTCTGCTAACATCCTGATT